TTTTCTTATGCTTACGCATTATGCGTTGTGCCGAAGTGTGTGCTCCCCGCTTAAAAGTGTATAGAAAGAGATGGTGATTATGTGGAAAAATAATAAATGTGCACCATAAAAATGTAAGATTAAACTCATGTAAACATCAAAGTTCCAGGAATAAAATTTTCTGAGAAAAAAATTAGGAGGTATTACTTTCGTACCGACCCTCGTATCATAATAACAAAAGAAATCATTTTTAACGAATTGTGAACAAAAAAATTAGTATGTTATTGAATTAAAGTCATAAGTGACATAAAATAAGTCACAATTTCTTTTTATGTCAGGTTTTGTGCGTGTTTAAGACAAAAATAATTTACTTCAATTTTTATATTTTTTGCAGCTTTAAATTTGATATACATACACACGTACGTAAATTTTAGAAATAAATTTTTAATATGTATATATTTATGCGAACATTTACACTAATATTTTATTTATAAGTTCTATATTACAAACTATGCTATAAAAATTTATTTACATTAGAAGAAGATATTGATAATGAGAGAATATCGATGAAAATTAATATGACTACGTTTACACGGCCAAATTTACGCCGAAGTTATAACATCGATGTTATTGTAAATCAGGTCGTGTAAACGTAGTCTATATCTCTTTTAATAAAAGATAAAACTGCAAAATTGTTTTAAAAAATCAAAATTTTTATATTATTTAGTAATTATACAACTTTAAACAAATAATGTAAATTAGCTGCATGATAACATAACTTTTTAGTGAAAAGGAATCTCTTATATTTATATCAAATTGTTGGAACTTCTCTTAGTATTAGAAATAAACTATTGTTGGAATTCTCTCAGTATTAGAAATAAAAATTAATCGCGCAACATACATGCCAAAAAAAATATACACTCAACTTTGATGAGTAATATTATTGAATTCTAAACTCTATATTCACGCTGCACAAATTAATTTTGATCACAATATATAGTAGTACATGGAGTTACGCACTGATTTTTTTATACTAAACCTATATATTTCTTAATATAAGGAAAATTCACGATTTATAATACTATCATATATTTATAGTGTCAAAAATCACAACAAATATTTTTTTATAATCATTACATAGTTTAACTCATCTTCAAACTACTTGGCAACATTTAATTGTTCCAAGAGAGTTTCCCTTTCTCGAAGGCATGCCCATGCTTTTTCATGATCCTTTCTTGTTAATGGCACTTTTCTCTGTTTTGCCAAGGTCAATTTTTTGTAATGTTCTATCACCTCGTTATCAGCAACGCTAATTTTCCGTTTTAATGCTTGCCGCTTGCTCTCCTCCTGAGCTAGATTTAACAGTCTCTTCAGCTGCGTAACATTATGATTAGACAATGCAGAAAGTTCTTGTTGGCATCTTTTAATTTCTGCAAGAATTTCATCGTCCTCTTGATTCTTTTTTTGTGCATCGGGTTCCAAGATACCTTGCTCAACCAGTTCTTTATGCATTCGTAATTCCAAGCTCATGGAATTCTGGATAGTTAGATCTCTCAAGACAGGCGGATCTCCATCTCGGAATAATTTGTTCTCCATGTTATTATTTGCGATATATACATTCTCCTCTAGAAGTGCAGAAACCAGTCTCTGAGTAAGGGGTCCTGCGATGCTATTAGCTTTTTTATCACTTTTGGATATCAAGTGTGACATATCTGTACGATTCTTCTTCTTTTCTCTGTTTGGGTTGGCTGCATCTTCCTCTTGTAATAAATCGTTATGTGCCCACATTAAGCTGTAATGACGGCCTAAAGAAGGAATCTTCTTGAATTCGCTTATGTCCCCATGTGTAGCAATCAGTTCCTCCAATAATTTAATATCATCAGGCATGATGTCGGTGCAATAGGGATCCACTGACGCCCAAAACTTGTTCGGTGTATCATTTTTCGATAAAAGCAGCTTTGGTACATCAGACTTAGATCCTTCAATCCTTGAAATTTCATGTAAGTTTGGCACTATTTGACTGGCTGAACTTCCTACTGTCTTCTGCTTAAAAAGTTTTGTGTGCAAAGGCGACTGACTCTTGGTGTTGATTTCCTTTGGTTTGAATTTCTCTTCACGTATTTTCTTGTCAAGTATCGACAGACTCTTACCGCTTTTCGATCTTCTGTCTCTGCGCTCTTCCGCCGAAAATAAACTAGCGATCTCATCATGAAGTGTGCGATGGCGTACAACAACCGCTGACAAAAGTGTCTCGAGTTCTAGTTGTAGTGTATCGAGATCCTCCATGCCAATGCCTTCCTCTGCCGTACGTTTTAAGATACTGGTGTATCTTGGCAGATTTCGACTGGTGTCAACCGTCTTTAGAAGAAACTGAGAAGTTGTTGGCTCTGGTACCTCCGAGCTCACATCAGAATTCGTCGTTGAAGATTGTGCGGTTTTCCCAGATTCACGTATTTTAACGACAGCTTTCTTAGAACTTTGCTTCCCTTTTCCAGACATATTTTTTAACGAATTGTGACAACCGACAGCAAGAAATATTATTGCTTCAAATAAAAGCTATTGCTTTTGTAATTGATTTCGAGTACCCTCAAATAAATAATCTCACGTTACATCTGTAATAATTATTGAACGTAATTATTTAACATTCGTGATAAATAGGCTTTGATAAATACTGCAAACTATCAAATTATGAATATCAATCTCTCATTTACTTCATCTTACTTTTTAGGTATAAAATATTGATATCGGATACTATTAAACGTGAATAATGGATAAGTTTACACAAATCTCGTCGTTTAGGTTATAGACACAAACTTTTATCTACATAGCAATAGAGTCCAGTAATAAAGAAGCGCATCCGGCGGCTTGCTTGCCGATTGGCTGACCGCGGCCACCAATCACAACCGAGAGTGATGGTCCCGCAGCATGTGCGAAGTAGGCTACAGTCAACGTGACGCTACAAATGCTTCGAAGCAGTTGATTGACCAATCAGAAAAAAGAATTTTACGAATTAACCAATCAAAAAATGCTTTGAAGCATTTGTAGCGTCACGTTGATCGTAGCCGTAATGCTGGGTCTACAATGCGAGTCGTGAGTCGTAGGAAATGGACCAATCACAATCGAATTTGAGGAGAATTTGAGGAGAAGCAATTAATCCAACAGGAAAACATGCTCCGTGTGCCGCTGGCTTTATGCTAGGTCTACAATGCGAGTCGTAAAGTCGTGAGTCGTAAGAATTGACCAATCACAGTCAATTATTCTTCTCAAATTCTACTATGATTGAACAATTGTAGACCGGGACTAAAGGGCCTTGGCACATAGGTCGGTATTTATAGATTCAAGATCGTCTTAAGTAATGTCTTAAGACTAAGACACTAATACGGCTCTGTGATTGGTTCATGACATCTTAAGATTGAACTTAAGGAGTAATGCTAGGTCTACAATGCGAGTCGTAAAGTCGTGAGTCGTAAGAATTGACCAATCACAGTCGATTATTCTCCTCAAATTCGATTGTGATTGGTCAATTCTTACGACTCACGACTTTACGACTTCACATTGTAGACCTAGCATAACACCACTGTAGCGCCCGAAGAAAACAGCCTAATTTTGACAATTTTTTATGGGAATATAGTGAATGGAATACAAAATCGGTTGAAAGGCCTTTATTGTACATTCTTTAAAGTGTGTTTACAATTTTTTTTATTTTTTTTTACAAAATGGCGGCGCCAGAGCTCAGCAAAGGGAGCCTCTTCGTATTTTGCGGCCGGAAAGATTTCTCCTCCAATTTTTGATTTGAAACAAAAAACCAAAAATTTTTTAGTTTTATATAAGATTAGCTCGAAAAAGACGTACGGAAATTTAAAAATTTCATTTTTTGTAAAAATGGTGCACGTTTGAACAAAACGTTTCATTTTTAAACAATATTCTCATTAAAAATTGTCAAAATTAGGCTGTTTTCTCCGGGCGCTACAGGTGGTGTTACCCCTTAAGACAGTCTTAAATAACTATGAATACCGGCCATAGAAAAACTTAAAAGCAGTAAAACTTAAGGGTCGACAGGAGTAAAGGCTATCGCACACAAAATTGCATAGGTTGCATATGCATAGCATAAGACCGCTGGACCAATGAGCATCTTGTGTAAATTAATATGCCTTTAAGGCCATCGCACACAAAATGCATAGCTTAGCATAAGCATAGCATAAGACCGCTAAACCAATGAGCATCCAGCATAAAGTCGCCATATTGATTTACATAAGATGCTCATTGGTCCAGCGGTCTTATGCTACGCTTATGTTAAGCTATGCATTTTGTGTGCGATGGCCTTAATGCGGGGAGCACACACTTCTGCATAACGCATAATGCGTAAGCATAAGAAAACTGATTGATCTATTTCCTTATGCACATGTGTATGGACCAATCAATTTTCTTATGC